GATATATTCAGCAACACGGTGATAAAGTAATAATCCCCATTTCCTCCCTCATCTTTCAAAGGGTCCTGTAACACAAATGTCACCTTTCTATAGTAGAGTATAATTGATTCTATTTGTGACTGCTTAAAAAGAGGTGGAGGAATATGGCAATGATCCAGGGATGACTTGAAATCAAACGGAAGTTCACATGAGGCTACGAATACCAACATGAAAGAACAAAGCCCAAAGGATGCTATTTTTGAAGGCTAAATCTTGTGTGGACATTGCATCCTTATAGTCCTCCTGTTCAGAAGTAATCTTTGTGCCGACACACGAGGACATGCTAATCTTTTTGATGAATGTCCCAAGAACTTGGGGCTACCCAGATACAGCCAACAACTGTGAGGCAGTAACTTCAGGGATTTGATACGCCCAAGAGACGAGGCTCTGAGTTGCTCGGTCAATAACAGGAAGCATCGAATGTGTTCTGACTAAAACACTGTTCATGTCAGTAAAGGGTACATTATATGATTAAAAATTCATCCCATACAAATCATCAGTAAGGCACCATAGAAATAAAATCATTGGAGGCACAGAATTCAGAGAACAGACCGGTTGATTTCTTTGCCAAAACTCTGCCCCATAAAATATTTTGTATGGCTGTTTGGAATCTACCTTTAAATGTGTCAGGCCACCCCGACCTCTTTATTTATCAAAGGGAATAGCTCACTCATTTAGAAAAAAAATGTGGCTGGGTGTAATGACTTGATAATCAGACTATTTTTTTCCTTTCAAAATGCTATGTCATTACTTTCTTTTACCAGTTATTTTCATTTTATGAATTAATATCAATTAATAGAGCATTACTAGCTTCCTTCTGCATTTAGTTTACTCCCTAAAGTCATACGCCCTTGTTCTCTCATTATTTCTTGTCAGTGAGTATCTCTGCACCGTCTTTCTAACTCATTTACCTCTTTTTTTTTTTTACAACTCTCTCAATTAGAATCGTTGTGCCAAGAACTAAGCAGTGTTCCAAATACAATTCCCACAGAACCATAAGGAGGAGAAATAGTATCTCACTGCCTAGACGTGATGTTTCCAAGTAGGATATTTGCATCACAGTATCCCACTACAAAATCATGTTTAATTTCTTAATATTACCCCAGGTGACTTGAGGTTACAGCTTTCCAGGATATCCACTGATGTTCAATCCCTGAACTCACTCATCTGTAGTGCTTTGAGTCCAGTCTCATCGTGCTATATTCTTTCCATGTGTCACTTTTCACTTTCTTTCTTCCCAGTTTCAGTAGCCTCTCAAATTTAGTATTATCCATCAGTGTGAGAATGATGTTGGTCAGTTCCTCTTCTGTATCTTTGGTGCTAACTCTAATCCCTACAGGTCTCCTCCTCTGAAGGTGAAGTTTCTATTATATTTGGGTTGTTAGCATGGGTTTCCTACATGAAGCAATGGGGGAATCCAAGCTAGAGCCTTTATTTCAACAGTCAGCTTTTCTATTATAGAAACAGATATTTTATCCAGGTTTATATATCATCTGTCAGTTTGACAGATTAAGACTGTGATCTTCAGAGGTTAGGGAGAGAGGGAGAAGGCAGATAAGAGAGCTAAATCTTGAGCAAACACCAACTTTTAGTGAGATTACAGCTTCTCACTCTTACAAGCTTTCTGGAAAAAAAAAAAAAGTAATTCATATCAGTTTGCCACTGCTGGAGAGCCAAGCAGTGGGTGAGGAAGCTATTCCAGACAGAACCCAGAAACACATGAAAAACCACCTCGGCTCAGGTGGGAGATCTTCCGAAGAGGTTTCTGATGTTGCCTTTGCCTGGTACACCTCTCCAACAGAAAAAGGGGGCATACTTTGTCCTGTTTATCTTATTTTGGCCTCTTTGTTCCCACTTGTGCACAGACTGGTGGCAGACAGGAGAGCTGCCTCGCTGTCTTCATGTCTGTTTGACGTGTCACTCAGCTGCCCTGCAAGAAAGCACTCTACTTTTCTCCGCTGAGTTTATTTAATTCACTTTAATTACAAGCTGCAGCAAGAGTTCGGTGATCTGTGATTCCCATGATTATTCCCTCTTCCTTTTCTCTAAGCTCAGTATTGTATTTGTTTATTGCTGCTCTCGTGGGCTCTTTCCAGCTTTCCGTGAGCATTCGCTATTGATTGCTAATGGTGTGTTAACGTAGCGTGTCAGATCCCTGTGCCCATGCTCTGCCATGTGCATTTGCTGGATCTGCTGATTTACATTTGTTTTAGATTTTCTAGATATTTCCCTGCTTACATTTCTGCTAATTCTAACAAGCCCTTCATTTCCTTTTTATTGATCACTTTGTTGGTCTTTTAAAAAGCTTTTATTTTCTTAAGCAACTGAATTTTCGTTAGTCCCATCTCCTCCATAAGTTACCTTTATGTCTCTTTTCTCATGAAAACATTAATCCCTTTCACCTTACTGGCAAAGAGCAACTTCTGCTTCTTTTCCCACAAGCTTTCCTAACCTTTCCCTCCTCTCTCATATGTATGAATTCTTTTTCTAGTCCCTGTTTAGACCCCAGAACCTTTGCCTCATGTTTTCTGAATCCACGTTCACTGCCTCTTCTTCCTTGAAGGCTTTTCAAAATAAATCCTGTCCGTGTTGTCTTGCATGTTCCCCATCTCCTTTTGACATTGATGGATTCTAATGATTTCTGAAAGCTCCTCCTCATAGATAACTCTCAAGCATTCTCGATTCTTTAAGATGTTTTCCTTGTAATCTAATATAATTGCACTGTGTCCTGCAGTTGTGTTCTCTGAATTTCCTTACCTGTCTCTGCTAAATACAGCACTCCCAATGATGACGCTACTGAGCTGACATTTTTCCTCACAATGTTCTTTGATTTCTCCCTGTTGGTTAGAATTGTATCCAACAAGGCTTCTTTTCTCATCGGGACCCCTATTTTCTACATCCTGCAGTTGTGTGTGATTTAGGACTACTTCAGTGTTCTGTCTGTTGACGACTTCGCAACAGAAGAAATAATGACTAAATGCATTCCCTAATGAACAGTAACAGAAAGTTCTGATTGTGTGAAACCCTGACATTTTTTTCTACCATCATGTATTGTTTGTAGCCTGTAGAAAACTGGCTGTTCTCCGTACGACTGCTGCATTCAGCTGCATTCTGAATATGGATTTTTTAGAAGCTTTAGCCATGTCTTTGACCTGTGCTTTCTGGCCCGGCTCTCTTTTTAAATGATCTCTTCTTGATTGTTTGCTCTTCTGAGCAGAGCATTAAAAGCCCTAGCCAAGACTATGACCTTTGGGATGCTGCAGCTAATTGCAAACACGTAGCTTCCATCCTGCTTACAAGTATTGCTGGAATGTTCAGTCTTGCTCGTTTTACCCCAGGTTCAGCATTTCTCTGAATTCAGCTATAAATTTTGCATTGCCTCTGTACACTGGAAAACAGAGGGCCCATTTTCACATTAATAATAAATACACAGAGCTGTACCTATTCTCTAACTCTGTCATCTTCATGAAAATAATAATTTATGTGTGCATTTTGTCTTTCATATAACCATCTCATATAACTATCTCTTGTTTAGAAGCATGGGTTAAGTAGTATTGTCCTCATTTTTAAAATAAAGACAATAGAATTATGAGATAAAGCACAGCAATGTTTCAGTAGGTGCTCAGGGAAGAAAGTAAGACAGTTTGCAAATAAACCACCTTGTGCCAGATATCTCTTTTACAGAGTCAAAAGCAAATACTGAGCAGGGCTGAGTAAATAATAGACCTTGAACTATAATTGCCTAGCTGAGTAATCAAGAAAAATATAGTTCTGGATTAACACAAACCTATAAAAACAATTATTTTGACCACTAAACTTAAAAAAAAAAAAAAAAGAAAAAAAAAACCCTGTTGTTTTCTTAACAAAAAAATGTTTAATGTCAGAAGAAAGCTTTGATCTGAAATGAAATTTCTGTTTCTTATTTGGGTGGCTTATGTTATCTTGCATCACTGTTTTAGGAACAAATACAGCCAAAATTCAAAATTAGGCATCAAATTTTCATGAAAATCCATTGCTTTATTTAACTCAATTTCCCACATAGCCTTAAAACCAATTTTTCTTCAAGAATCCATTCTCCAGACTTTTTTTCCCAGATTACCTGAGACTTCTTGCTCTAAGAAGATAAAATGACCAATGCTTCAGGAGGTGGGAATATATTTGTCCCCATTTTGCAGAAAAGGATTTGAGGTGTTTTTAGATAATGTAATTTAGACTGGGGATCAAACATTTGGGGCAAATGATAGGTCCTTCAAAAAGCCTTGAAATCCTTGTGTCCCTCCTCCTCTTGAGAGCAGAAGCGTGCGTCTGAAAGATGGATGGTCCCATCCCAGGGTGGAGGTGTGGGATGAGGAAGATGAAAGAGCCTGCTCACATGAACATGTGTCATCTTGTGAGCAGAACGTGATGACAGAAGGATTTCTGCTCATCCCATAGGAGAGGCCACAGCAGAAGAGAGGAGGACGTTGTCCTGGCTGGCCAGATGCAAAATGAACCCACCAGGTGTGGGTGCTGAGCCTCATGTCCAAGATGCAGGAACCCAGCATGAGTCCTTCAAGTCCTTCTCCAGCTTTTCAGCAGCTGGGTTCCACCCATTTGAATCCATCAGATAGGAAGGAAAAATGTGAAAGCTTTATAGTTCTGAATGATTTGGTCATTCCAGACTTCTACCTATCGTTAGTATTCAGTAGTTGTTCACAATCATTCTTGAGTTATTCCTTTTTTTTTCTTTTTTCTTTTTTTTTTTTTTAAGTAAATATGGTGTTTTAGTTTTTTTGCTGTTCTTGAGGATGGGTCCACTTTTAGCTCACCACAGTGTAGGTAGAGCTGTCACTCGAGCATGGCCATTTCACTGTCGTGACTGCTTTGGCTGGGATATTGGTTAGTGGAATAAGAACTCAGCTACTTCCTTTGGGGCGATTGATCAATTTGTTTTCCTCATCTTTGCTCTTGCTGACAACAAGCTTGATGAAATCAGTCTTTCTGAAGGCAGCACAGTGGATTTGACAAATCCTGCAGAACTGCTGGAGCAGATCCCTGAGTTTGCTGAGGAGCTGATGGAGCCTGAAGATTGCTTCCCCGAAGGTAAGGACCTGTGTGTTTCATTGCAATGCTGGGACGAGAATCCTCCTGTTCTCTTATCAAACATGTCTTCATGTTCACGCCAAGTTACTCTGACTGCTTGCAATAGGATTTCACTGGACTCACTTCATTTCTTAGATACTGTCGTGCTCCAAATTTACTTTTTAACATTAGATTTTGGATTTCCAAAGTGAGATAAGCCACAAGCAAGCTCAAAGTTCCTGTGCAGCTTCTAATGTGCTGGGCAATTTTTACATCATATTTTGTACTATAAAGTTACTTTATAAAAAAAAAAAGGTTGATATTTCCAACTTGGCCAATGAGGACTTTGCCTTCCAAAATATGTGTATGATCCAGCTCAGTAGAGGACTAACGTGATTAGAATGTTTCTATTACTGACATGTACACAGGAAATTTAATAGAAACTGTCTGCAGAGATCTTGAGTCCCAGAGACTTTCTTCCACTTATTTTAAAAGGTGTAAAGATTAGCATATCCAATAACTTCCATCTGACATGGGATGTGTTATGTGTATTTTACTTAATTACCTTGGATAACAATTCACATTCAGATTACTACTCTTAATAAGCCAGTATTTTATTATTTCTTAACACCATCCCACACCAAAACACAGATTTTAAACTCTGCTGCTTGAAAAGTTATATTTTTAATTAAGCCTGTAAAAAAAATAGCATTCCAAGTTATTTCTTCTCTGAGTGAGTTCTATTCCAAATGTTATCTCAGAAAAATTTCTTGTATTCCTTTAAATCTGGGTTAGGAAAAATAGGGTTAGCTGAATATTTCCTTGAAAATTCAAGGGTTATTATAAATAAAAACAGAGCTGCTCAGATGGGATCAGACAGAGATGTTTTATTGGGTATATGAATGCCCCTGAAGTCAGCAAAAATGTGCATCTCTATATGTGTGAGAAAGATGATTGAATGAGGTAAGGGAGCCCTGCAGGGCTTACAAATGTCCCCAGGATCTAAACATTTTTTTGGCAGCTCTGCTTAAAAGCAGTAGCCAAAAATTAATGCAGTTGACTGAAGAAAGCATGGTACTGTGCTGTAACTGTTTTGTTCTAGACAATAATATTTAAAAATTAGATCTGGTGTTTTCATTCTTTCACTATATATTTCTTATTGATATTAGTGAGCAGGAAACTATATTATGCACTGCAAAATGACAAATTGTATTAAATTGCACAAACAAACTTTTATTATAAGACTGGTGCTAGTCAAATGCCAGACAATTTATAAATGCTAAAACTGTGATTGACCATGGTCAATTTCCAGTTTTTAAAACAAATGAGATGGGAATCACACAGCCCGTTGCTTCATTCAGTGCGTAGCCTTGGTTCATTTGCAGAGCAGTTGCACTCAGTCATTTTCTCTTGATTAGAATGGCCAGACCTGCTTGAATCTCCATCGTGCAGACTCACATCAGTACCCAACCTATTTGTTGGAAGGTCATGTCAATGGAATGCAGGGTAGAAGTGGCAAGCAGTCACTTCTGGGTGGATCACTGGAAACATTTTTGCATCCCAGCTGCCATCCTAACCACAGAGAAATATAGAAATCAAGAGATGGGCCAAAATCCAGTCTTACTGTGGGTCAAATCCAGGAGTTGCAACTGGTGATCCTTGTGGGTGCCTTCCAACTTGGGATATTCTATTGACTCTATGACTCTTTTGTTTCCTTCTCCCTTCCCCCTGAGCACAGCATCACTGCTCCTTCCTTTATCCTTTTATTCCTCAATTCTCCTCACTCCTCACCAGCCGCTGTTCAAGTCAGGATGTCCTCATCTTCTCCCAAGCTGTGGCCAGCTGAGCCTTGAGTACCGAGTGGGAACTGAAGCAGAATCCGCTCCCAGCCCCTCATCATGTGTGTGGTGGCTGTGGGAAGTGGGGAGGCAGTTGCAGGCAACATTGTCCCCAACACATCTGCTCTGCTTTCCAGGCGGCACGGATCCATGCAGGTTTTTTCAGAGACTTCTGCATAGGATAGATGTAATTTGAATTTGACAAAAATGCATGAATTTGGCACGTGAATTTCAAGTCAGATCATAAACTGCATATCCAACTGACTCTTGCTGCAATGACATTAGAATTTCTATTTATGAAAGGAATCAAAGTATTTTCCCATAATCTTTTTCTTTTAAATGTCTTCCAACTTTCCTCAAAGTTACCGTTTCAATTAAGCCTCACGCAGCTATCATTTCAGGATAGTTAAAATAAAATGCAATGAAACAAAAACAGTCTATCTGGATTATATATGACAGTTATTAAGTACTAAAATGGACTTATTGAAAAACAAGCACCAGGCAGTTTTATCTAGTGTTGCCATTGCTGTCTTCTAATAAGGAGACACAACATTTGGTATATGTGGGAGAATGACCACCTACCATTTATGATTGAAGATAAGGTGAGATGAAGCTGGCTAAGAGGGAGAGTTAATTTCTTGCCTTTTTAGTTCATCAGCTGTCTAAATGCAAACTATGACATTTCTAAACATATTCAGCACAGGTTGTGCCCTGAACAAATATGTTCCAAATTCAGCCCCCTTTTTCAGATAACAAAGGCAATAAAGATAGTACATGTACTGGAAATAGTTGCTGAAAGTTTGCTGAGGTCAGAGTTTTCCCGGAGTAAGGTGAACCAGATTAGCCATGGGTCGTTTCTTCTTGGGAAGACTTGTTAATTAGTTATCATCTCAAAATAGCTGTGATTAGGGTGAAGCGGGAATATTCTTGGGTCAGGAAATGTGAAGCCAAGGTAGGGTCACAGCTCTGGCAGCCAGCAAGTATTGCTGGGAAAAAACTGATAGAAATGGAGAGATCATTCTTGCTGTCAGTTGATGAGAAAGCAACATCTAGGCAATGCCAGCTATTTGGGTGTTTTTCCCTCCAGATGCCTTGCAACACTCCTGTGCTGTTACCTCCATTGGTATGCGTTCTCTGCATCAGAAATTGCTATCTGTTTGGGCGTTATCTTCTGTGTCTCCAAGAAGGTTGTTCAAACAGAGCCCCTGACCCCAGCACACTCCTCTATCCCAGACCCTAATAGGAGAAAGTTTTCACTGAGTCCTCAAGCGTAATTCCCCGGACACGGCCCGCTGGCAGAGGCGTATCGTCAGATGGTTGTGTGAGAATGAGCTACCTTCATCAGCACGCGGTCAATTGCAACCCGTGACACACGAGGTGCCCACAACCAGGTTTTCATGTGACTGTGTAGGAGCGATTATCGCAGGCCGGAAAATGTCACACACTAAAGTGAAGTTATGCTGGTTAATAGTGAAGTTATTCTTGTTAATGTTGGGATTGGCATCATACCCTCCCCAGTGGCACTCAGTGGCTGCTTGAATCTATAGATGTGAAGGGGAGGTCCAAAGGACCACAACATTGAACAAGTTGTCTCAGCTGAGCTACAGGCTCTGCCTGCAGATGAGGTTTGAAAGCTGAGTAAAACTAAACCAAGCCCAACAAAACATGCTAATGTCATTCTAGAAAACAAATGGAACAAAGACAAGTCAATTCAAGTTTGAAGATATCTCTTTTCTCTAGCCCTAATACCTGAGATACAGTGTATTTTTCTGCAGTGCTATTGTTTTTCTGTCTTCAGTCCTCAGACATCAGAAGACACTTAGAGTCTCATTTCAATTCGCCCAACCCCGTGCTTAAAGCAGGGCTCACTTTGGTGCTGGACCAGGATGCCCACTGCCTTCACTTCAAGACATCACACTATCAGTTGCAATGACCTTTTAAAAGGATACGTTTGGAGTTGAGTAGAGGCAGATAAACAAGCAGTGTATGCTTGTAAAGCCCTTTAGAGAGTGAAAACGCTCAATAGACTTGGGCTTTATTGGAAGCTCTACTTTGTATTACATGGGAAATGATTGAAGTCTCCATCTGTGTCTGAGGTACCCAAAGCTGGTGACAGTGATAGCAAATCTCTTCTGTTTTAGTGCTAGCAGAGTGTAAAACCTAGCCATGTGAGTTAGTGGGACCAGAAGATGAGAAAGGGGATAGACAGGAGAGTCCATAGAGTTGCGTTCCCTCTAAGCCAAGAAGGATATGCTTTTATTTGGCTTGAGCATGCACAGCTAACCAGGCTGGCTATTAGAAACCTCAGTTGGCAGGTACATGCATTAAAACTGAGTTGTGAATACCTGCCTGCTTGAATTTATGCTAAGGAAGCCGTATTTTCCCTGTGTCAAGCCAAGCAATATTGAAACCAATGTTCAAAGCTAAGCAAAATATTGTTTTGTTCTAAAAATGAATGTCCCAACAATTGGGATCTTCTGTGGAAAGGTAGCTGTAAAATTATTGTGTACAAAAGGTATCAGTCACACTGCTCCACAGTATAAAAGAAATTAATTGGTCTTCCACGGTTACTGAGTAGAATCAGCAGCCCAATCTGGCCAAAACACGTTAAACATTTTTATGCAAAAATGGAAGGTAAATATTGGTGTGAACAAGCAGTGGATTTGTAAAGGCTTTTTTGAAGTTGTTGTACAAGCAGAAGTTTTTGCACTGTAGCTCCCACATTTACAAGGTGCTTTTTCTCCTAATTCAGGAAGGTAATGTAATCACATCTAACAGCTCCATGATTATAATGCGACAGGTTAGAAAACGTGAGTGCAGAACCAAAGGTAGAATGAACTGTTATACAAGATGCATTGTAAACTGTAAGTTAAATTCAATTTTTTTTTTTTTTAATACTTTGTAGTTAGTCATTGTTGTGGCAGATGCTTAAGTAAGAGTTTTCTCTGTCACACCTACAGTGGAAACTTCAGAATAGGACCTATTTTAACCTGCAGTTTGTGATTGTGCCATAGGATCCCACAGTGACTGAAGGGAACAATTCCTTGTGAAAAACAAACAAGAAGTAAAAAATATCACATTCAGATGATGCATATGGGAAGGGTTCTTGGAAAGGTTTCTTGATAAATGTGCCTCTGTTCATTGAGAAATGTTCTGTAATGTTGAAATAAGAATTGAAAACAACTGTTCTTCTTGGGCAGGTTGACCACTGTTGCAGCTCAGTGCAGCTTCACTGATTTGCTAGCAAATATCTCGACCTTTTGTGCAGGACTTTATCTGCTGTTCTGTGTTTCTGTTGAGCAGTAGCCTACTATCCAAAATGCCGTGATGGAAATGAGTCAGTTTGCTCTCAAAAAGCACACAGCCCAATATGAATTAGAGTGGCAAAACAAAGTCCTTGAAGAGATCACAAGACATTCAGCTTCCACGCAACCGACTCCCTAACAGCATTGGTGGGGGATAGCACAGATCTGTTAGACTAGGCAGCACGAGTAATGCTGTTATAAGAAACACCAAAGGGTTTATTCATGACACTTGCAGTGTTAAAGGGTGTTAATGAGTGGTTTTCTTCATGTGGATCAAGCAAATAACTTTCTAGACCTGAAGCTGGGCCACCTGCTTTGTAAAAGTCAGTCGGAGTTAAGATTGCTCAGATCCTCACCAGATCGTGCCTAGAACATTCTGGGATGTTTATGTTATTTTGATTTCGCAGAAACTGGAGGAAAAAAACAACTCTTGGAATGCTGGCTGATGTCAGGTATACTTTTTTGTTGTGTTATGTAAAGCTTGTAATTCAGCATTTAAGCTTGGGTCAAGGTCACCAAGCAGTAGGCTGCCAGCATTGCTAGAGAGTCCCGAAAAGCACAGGTATTGAAGAGCAGACACTGAGGAAAATAAGAAATTCCATAATAGGAATAGAACTTTGCTCATTAAAAGACTTATTTGTGGTCCATTTCTTACTATTTATTATTTTTTTTTCCTCTCGGCTTCCTTTTTTTGGTTTGATTTATGAGGTATTAAAAATAGCATTTCATCCGAATTGCAACCAGCATGATAATTCACGGAAGTGCTACTTGACATTAGTAATTGTATCAGAATCTGGTCTAAACATTTCTGAATTGGGCCCAATCAAAAGCATGGGATTTAATAGCGCTGTGATTTTGGGCTGACTCATCTGAGAGGCTATTTTGGATTTTTCGAGGTATTACTGTCAGTAAGTAGGATTTTTTTTCAGAGCAGAATTGCATGAAAGCCATCAAAGAGCATAAAAATAATAATAATAAAAAAGATTAGTGGTCCTTGCTGCCTTTCTGTCTTTAAAAATACCTCTCCGTACCTGTAGATGATCAGATGGAGGCTGACTGAATCATAAATAGCCTGTTTTTACCATTTTACAACCATTTTCCATCACAATTGAAATAACTTCAGATCTTATGATGCCCTGCTCATTAGTATTTATTTGGAAGATGATTCCCTAATTTTAGCTGTGCCTGGGCTCAGGTAATCATGTTGGCTCCTTGTGCAGAGCAGACGCCTCCAGGGAATGATTCATCCAACGTCTTACGATGGAGGACCTGTCCCTTCCCAGTGCTGCCTCCTGAGCCCACAGCTAGCTGAGCTGAGCCCTTCATCTAAGAGTCTAACAGAAATAGCAGAAATAGTGTACGAGATTTCTTGCTAAGAGATGCAGCTAATAAACCCACGTGTCATGTCATGCTATGACATGGACATATGATGTACATGCATGGACATATGATGTACAGGTATGGCCATTTCCAAGCAGAGCTGCCATAGGAGAATGTTAGGACTCCTGGTCCCATATAGTACTGTGGACCTGTAGTCTGTTCCATCTCCTGAATTCCTAAGAAGTACCCAAATCACACACTTTAATATCTCTGTATAGGTTTTAGGAAAACGTGCTGACTAATGTGATACCTTTTTATCCCTTGCCACAGTTATCTGAAGACTAGGGTTGAAGTGAAGGATAAAACTTTCCTTTGGTGGAGTGGTGACTGACCACAGAGGCAGAGAGCCAGTCCTTACACTTGCATTTCTAGCATGTTCTTCTCGAGCAATTTGATTAAGTTCATGTATAATCTGTATCCTTGATGTATTTCAACTGAGCCCAGAATTTCTCTGAATTCTAGAATACAGTGGTAAACTGAGAAATACCATGGGTCTGTATGATGGAATTATTTAGAGGACAACTAGTTACTTGCCTCACTGTTACATTACCCGTGCATTAATGGTTTCCTGTGCTGTTAGTCCCATACCAAAACCTCATACAGCCAACAACCTAACCTACCAAAACCTACACCTACCAGACATCTCAGAGATGAGGGATAAAAAGGAACTCTGAGAGCAGTTCATGAGTGAAACATTGTAGTGACATCCTACACGTCTGCCGCCCCGTAGCAAGGATCTTGGCTCATGTAAACTTAGAGAAGAAGCACAGCAGACTTAGCAGCTTGCTTCCTGCTGGCAGAGTCTGCTGCCAGCACAGCTCCACTTCCAGCTGCATGGGAATCACGGCATCCCAAGACTTGTATTTGATCTCCTTGCAAATCACAAGCAGCTCAAGCGCCTCAGTTATGCCACCTTGAATTAGCAGCATCTGCCTTCTGTGTATCCTCGACACTTGCCCTCTTTCCTTCCCCACATTCCTTGACTAAATATTATTTCTACTTGCAATAACATTGCGTTACATCACCACAGTGAGATGTTCTCTCTTGTCACTTCTGAGCAGTTGTTGGATGCCTCAAGACGTGTCAGTGACCTTGGTTGCATTTCAGCTAGGGGAGCAGTCAGCCTGTGATTTATTTTCTCCTAGTGGGACTATAAAGATCCATAACAAAGTCTCTTTCTGCGCAACACATAGATTAAAGGCAGGGTGTAAAGCTTGATTTCTTTTGAAATAAATTAGTTTCCAGGTGTAGTTCTTATCATCAAATACTGTGACACTTAGAATTGTAGAATCATATAATATCCTGAATTGGAAGGGACCCATAAGGATCATCACATCTAACTCCTGCCTCCATAAAGGACATGAATCAAATTATCTGACATAAGGCTGAATGAACAGTCAGCCTGGAAAAGGGCAAGTCCTAACTACCAAGATGTCTTTTCATCATAGTTTTAAGATCCTACCCAGCACAAGACAAGGAACATTTTTTAAGTGGAAAAGATGGATCTGTCCACTGCCAACAAAAAAATATTCTTTTGTTATAATAATGTAATGCTGCGACTAAAATTGGCCAAAGTTTTGCCGTCAGAAATCCATCTGTGGTCCCCGTTACCACCATGGCATTTAGCCATCACAGCATATTTGTCACTGCAACATCTCAGTAAGATCAGACAGCGCTATGAGGGCTGGTAGGAAACTTGCTGTGGACAGGGGCTGGGCATCTACATTTCTGCTGAAGTCAGAGGGTATTTAGCCACCTAAATACCTTTCCAAAGTTGGCGTGGTGCCTTGATTAATCTCATGAGAGACCAAGAGACCAAAATCTGCTCTTGCTTTTCCTAAGTCTCTTCAGCACATTTGTTCCATTTGCAGTGCAGCAGTGCCTTCTCCCCTCATCTCCTTTTCATCAGGTTGCCGCTTTTAATCAGCAAATCTGGTAGTGCTGTAATACCAAGAAAATGTCCCTTCTGCCTTCAGACGGATGTGGAAATTATTGGTGATACCCTGCTGGAGTCATTAAACCTGATCAGCGGGGCTAATACAACGTGGTCAACCTGTGGTAGTGGTGACTCATGATCAAAATATTCCAGATCACAAAAATCACTTGGAGAAACCACTGGGGCAGGTTTCAAGTTAGAAGGCAAATCAGAAGGGAAAGAGAAGAACAAGGGAGGAAAGACAACATGGAGTAGCTTGTGCTATAAGTAATCCTCTTTAGCATGTGCTTATTGCAAATTTAAGAATTAAATAGTTGGTTTTGTGTTGTTGTGTTTTGTTTTTTTTTTAACAATTGCTTTGTTATTGTTCTGCTCCTTTTCAGTTTGTGTGCGGTTCTTCCCATGCTGCTCTGTGGATATCTCAAAATTTCCAGGCAAAATTTGGTGGAGGCTCCGGAAAACTTGCTACAGGATTGTTGAACACAATTGGTTTGAGACTTTCATCATATTCATGATCTTGCTGAGCAGTGGAGCCCTGGTAAGTGTATCAGGATTTCCTTGCTAATTGAAAGTAAACATGGGTCTAAGAGGAGATGTTCTTAAATTAGGTGATCTTAGGAACCTTCACCGCTTATTTCTCAAAGCAAAGTATGTTTGGGAGTAAAACAGGCTTTCTGCTTTTCTGATTTCATCTGCCTTTTCCATATAATGAGGAACTTTCTTCTGTGATAACATAAAATTATGACGTGCATAGGTTTTGAAAAGGGCATAGTTAAGGAAGTCTGCATGAAGAGGTAGCCCAGAATTACCACTTCAGTGTCCTATGGCTGCTGTCTGGTAGTTCCCACCTGAAGACTTGCATTTGGCTCTAGGGGTACCTTTTTCTTCCTTTTTTTAAATAACATATTTTCTGACCAGCGAAGGAAAAGATGCAATGAGCAGTGAATCAGAGAACTACCAACAGAGGTAATGGATGCCTGTCGTGCTCTGAAAACATCTTAGCTTAACCCACCATACCTTCCCTGCCCAAAAATCTCTTGCTTGCAGCCGGAATGAATGCGCACTCATGGTTGGTCATTGCTAATGACTCTGATAATGATCTCTGCTGAGATCCCACAGGGTGCTGGGATTATCAGCTCTGTATTACCAGCCCTCAGCTTGTTATGGTGATGGCAAACAGTGACAGTTTCTGAGAGTTTGATTGATGGTTCCTCATTTAATGGTTGGCAACCCTGCCTATGACAGAGGGTTGGAGCTGGATGATCTTTGAGGCCCCTTCCAACCCAAGCCATTCTGTGATTTACATGGGTCAGGAACATCCCTGAAATTGGTAGGATTTCTCCCAGGTTTCTAGCTGTTTGTGCAGCAAAGGGGTATATCAAAAGTGTTCTGGAATTCGGCCCAGCGATCCCTGATGTTCTCCTCAGTGAAAGAGTAAGAAATATATCTGCTAAATTTGCAGGGAGTACCACATCTGAACAGGTTTTTCTAAGGTTGGGATTAACTTCTTCCAAATCCATGAATCTGCCTTCAGTATCTAAGATGAAAGTCTAGTTAGAAAGGCGCATGCTTCACCTCACAAGGGATAATCAAGGGTAGAAAGACAAAATGCAGCATGACTGGTAAGGTAGCAGACTTACTAAAAGGAGCTGGAGAGAGAGCAGGCAATAAACAGAATAAACTACATCACAGCACTGCACAAAAGCCGAACACCCCACTGGGCTGTATAAATAAGCATGTTCTTCCACTCCAGTTGGCATCAAGGAGGCCTCAGCTGGAGCATAGGCTGCAGCTCTGGGCACTGCACTTTGGGAAAGACGTGGGCTAATTGAAGAAACTCCAGAGGAGGGCAACGCAAATTATCAGTGGCCTAAAAAAAAAGAAGAGGAAAACACAGAAGAACTGGGCTTATGTAGTTTAAAGAAAGTCTCTGCAGGGAGAGAAGAAGATGGAAATCTATAAATGTTGATGCAAAAGGGAAAGAGATAGGCCATTCTTCAGGTCCAGTAGGGATGGGCTGAAATTTCTCCCAGGGGATTTTATTTTATTATGAAAAGCAAAAGGCTGAATAACTTGTGTAGATCTGAGGCTGCTGAAAATTGTCATAGCTTTGCTGAAATCAATGGGTTCTGACAGTTTTTGCACCAGCTTGAGGATCAGTGTGTTAATTTTTTAATGCATTTTAAAGGAGGCATGTCATTTGCTATAATATACTTCAGAGAAATACACTTCCTCACATACGTAATTAAAAGTGCTTTAGATCGAAGACTGAAATACAAATCTCATTTACTTTTCATTGCATTCTTTTGTGTGTGTGTGATTTTGAATTTAGTCAGTACTCTTCTGCAGAAGGGCAATTTCCACTGCAACTTCTCAAATGCCAGCACTGTGCTTTAATATATCAGCACTGCACTTTTAGCATTTGGATTGGAGATGTTGAGGGAAACACACATATACTTTTTTTCTGTTATTCTGAAGGAGCCTTTCCAAAAATTGAGCTCATCTGACCACGTCCCTGCAACACACAGTGTTCTTCAGGGAGTTAAAGGAATATGGTTTAGTGGGCATGGTGAGGATGGATTGATGGTTGGACTCAATGATCTTAGAGGTCTTTTCCAACCTTAATGACACTGCGATTCTGTTCTGTTTGTAAATAGTGGTCAAATCATGAGGTTACATCTACAGCTAATTGCAAAAGATCTGAAAACCTTTCTTGTGCATTTAAGCCATAAGTACTCAAATTGGAAGTCTGTGTTCTAACAGTAATTGTGGGAAACGCTGCAGGTATCATGTTTAATTCTTTTTTAATACACAAAGCAAGGAAGAAGAAACAGCCTTTAATGTTTAGTTTAGTCTTTTGTGTAATATCATGGCTTGTGCAGGAGTACAGTGCACCTGGGACATTCAGGTTCCATATTCCTCACCTATTAAGCTTCTTCCTGGCTCACTGTGTGCTTTTGGTAGACCAAACACAATGTACTTTCTGACAAGTTGGTAGAAAACAAGGAGAGCAAAGGCAGGAGAGAGAGCAGGAAATCACTTTAAATAGTTTGTTGTTATTTTTGTGGTAATTGCAAAGTACAGCAAGTCATCTGACAAAGTGAGTGAGCCCCTACCAGGAGTGATAAACTCCCATCTGCGCATTGTTTTCTGTGGCTTTCTCCAACAGCTCTTTCACACCCTTGAAATATCATTTTTGAAGGCAAGATAGGAGATTGAGTCGCGGTGAAAACGTCACCCTGAAGTGTGGGGACAAATGGACAAGCGTTGGCTCGGGCTGCCAGAGCTGTCTTGTCAGTTTAATTACTGTTTCCTGGCAGGCAAAAGACCAGTGTGATTGCCGGAGTGACAAGTAGCACACACTTCTTGTATCTGCAAGCACTGCATGTTTGCTAACTTTTGGAAGTTCCTCAGAAAACAACGACAGATCTTGAAATATGTAAATGCAGATAATGAAGATGGTTAGCACAGGCCCTCTCAAATAACATGGTGCTTTCTTGTTGCCAAGTGCTCCAGGTCACACAGTGGGACAAGAGGAATATATCAAAGCTTGGGACTTCCAGGCTAGAGGGACATGGAGGCAGTTTGAGTAACGATGGTCACTTGGTCAACTGGGGAGGCAGCTCCCAACTAAGCCCTCTGTGGGCCTCCTTGATACCAGGATCCTGTATTAAGGCATTATTAGATTATTACTTGATTATTATGGGATGACTTTACTTGTTTGATTTTAGTAGGCACATTGTTTCATATCATAAATATTTTAAGGGGGTTATTAAGTTGCTTGTACTTGATGCAGGCACTGAATGCCTTTTGATGATCCCCGACACAAGCTTAGTTGGACAGATGAGATGGGTAGATAGATACCTTGACCTTTAAAACATAATTGCTCTGTTAAGTGAATAATAATGAGCATTTCTCGAGGCAGACAGTTGTAGCTACCTGAAATGTGATGGCTGAACAGAAGCCAGGGAACTCTGTGCTCTGTAACACAGGCGTAAGCATGTTAATAACCCAATTTGTCATCATTAGCAGCAAGACATGTCAGACTAAATGTAAGGGTCAGATTCTGCCTATTACATCAGGATCAGTCCTATCTATGTCTGTGCACTTACTCTGACTGTAACATTAAACTAAGAAATCATTGTCAGTACACGATGTTCCATCAAATGATACTGCAGACTTGCAGTGCAGTACTGATGCTTTCTGACACCATTCAGCAGAAGCTTTTAATCAATATTTTGCACTTCCAGGCTTTTGAAGATATTTACCTTGAAGATCGAAAAAACATAAAAACCATGCTGGAATATGCTGACAAAATATTCACTTACATCTTCGTATTGGAAATGCTCCTGAAATGGGTGGCTTATGGCTTCAAGAAGTATTTCACCAATGCCTGGTGCTGGCTCGACTTCCTCATTGTCGATGTAAGTATCGATTTGGAGCTGCGCTGCTTCTTGTGTTGTGATTTTGTGATGCAGAAGGATGGGCTGTTAAGTCTGGTAGCATTGCATCAGTAAAATGACAGCTGTCACTCCAACTCTGAGTAACAATCTTTGGTGAATGTAGAAGGAGCCACCAGCCTTACTATGTGACCATGCATCCCCAGGGCACAGCGTGCCCAACAAACTCCATGTCGTTGTCAGAGGTGTTATCCTGCTAATGTGAGTAACATTCCCTTCTGGTCTCCTTTACAAGTGAAGGAGTCCAGAGACAGGTGTGAATAATGCTCCCATCAAAGTGATGTCAGTATTATGAAACCATCAAAAGCACTTTAAGATCTTGAAACACTACAGTGCTTAGTTCTCCTGCGAAGATAATCTTTAAAACCAGGAATAGTTGGGAGCTCATTCCCCAGGGATTTTGCTAAATCCAGCCATGTCCTCTCCAAAGTTGTGTGGACTGCAAAAGAGCAACAGATGTTAGCACACAAAACCTGAACTGGACAAGGGATCTGCTGAATGCAAGAAAGACCAGAAACATTGCATCCTCAACAATAGTTTTAATGTCTCATCACAGAGTATCAACTGAGGCAGTTATCTCCCTGAGGCCATTTCTATGAGTTTGAAGTATTAATATGGAAGGCTGGCAGAGCTGTACCATGATTGCAACTTATTAAACTTCTGATAAATTATTTCCCCCCCCCCCCCATTTTAAGTCTGAACCTCCACTTGGGGGAAAAGCTGCTGTGTCTTTGGCACTATTCCAGAAAAGCACTTCAATGAGATGATTTACTGGTTTGAAGTTATGGGCATGTCTAAGTGCACTACTGGATCAGAGCCTTTGGAAGCTTTTCCAGAGCTTTAATAAATTGATTTATGAAAAGGAAGTTCTTTACATAAATTGTAAGTCATAAATTCCTCTTCGCATACATGCTTGGAAACCTCTTAAATGGAAGGCACTTATTTTTCACAGATTAGCTTCAATAGAAGAGGAAGGCCTGGTTTAATTATCTAACCACAAAATTGGAAACCACCAGTTCCTAATTTATAGCCCAATCCTGAAAACTGTGCTTACTCTGGTTTAGGTCAAGTGACACAGCTTTTCTTCTGTGATTTCTCCATCTTTATATCGGGACTACTAAGACTTACGTAAAGTTATTTGGGTTTCCAGGAGCCAATGTTCATCATGAGCTTCTGGAGATTAGAAGGGCTATGTGAAAGCTCAGTAGTGTCACAACTCTAAGTAGGGGTCACCCTGACAGGAACAACTGTTTGCATGGTGAATTCACCAAAGCAATTTGGTGCTCTGTTGCATTATTAACATTAACTAGTGGTAAGGGCACAACCACAACTCCCTCCCTGGCACTCCCCAGCACACCCACTGCCCTGACTTTTTTATTTTCTTAACCCACATCTAAATACTATTTTCACAGGCTTTCCAAGCTAGCCCCAAAGTTGTCCCCCTGTTGGGTTGGTTTAGTTACTTCCTTAACCCTACAAAATTGTTTGTCCTTTAGCATCCTCAATTTAAAAACTTTTTCCCCATGTCCCGACGTTTCCTTCAAAGTCATTTGCTAACACAGATTATGAGAACTGGTACTATATTTTTAGCAGGTTTAACAGATGCTCTTCTACCCTATTACTCACATACCCTGCCACTCAGAGTTGGCAGAGTAACATTTTTACAGCACACTTTTTACTTGCATTTACATTTTCTTTTTGGTCCTTTGAGAACCAAATCACTGCAACTGAGCTGCAGAAGGGATTGAATGGGTGAATTAGCTCCTCCGAAAGAAGCAGATGAACCATTTGTCTGATTTTTCTCAAATTTATTTGTTTAAAATTATTCACTTAAAAATTCCTGATCTGCAAATTATTCATTAGTAATTTGGTATCGGTATTCAAAATTCAAGCTGCAATGGTTGATTTTTCTTTGGACATGGGAAACCATCTATCATCTGTTTTCTTCTCATTGTACAAATGCAACTCAGAGCCCTTTCTCTGCTGTGAATAATTCATAAAACAATCTCAAAATTTGCAAGCATTCACTATTTCTAAATGGGAAGTGAACCCAAAGGAGCTGTAAGCACATTGCTGAAGAATTATTATTTCCTCATACTTACCCTGCTCAGTGAAAGACCTTTGACTCTGATTTGGGCCTGTGGAGCAGCAAAGGCCCCATCCTGCAATTGTGGATTACCAAAGAAAACTGTGTCTTGCAGAGCCTGAACATCACACTAATCTGCAGACTGAGGGCTGTTTTTGCTGGGGGTAGAATCCCTAAAGGATAATCTCTGACAATGGGCCTCTGCATCTCAAGGAAGTGTGCTAGTGTGGCAAAGCAGAAAGAGACCGCTTTCAAATACAATGCAATACAATAAAGTCGTATCAAGGATGCTGCAACTGATTTCTTTGGGAGGAAGGGAGAAAGGAATAATCAAACTACAAATACAAGCTTATTTCATTTTAGGGAACCTGGGAGAGATGCCTTAAAATTCTGCTGAAATTTTGGATATACTCAGCAATGTACATCATTATGTTACCTCCCTGCAAACAGCAAGTACGCTCTGAAAAGTAGCTCACCTCTACAAACAGAACTTTCCTATGCACACAGATTGGAGTGATGAGGAATTGAAGTCACAGCTATTTTCAAAGGACAAAAAATCAGAGACTGCAGTGTGTCTGATGTGTAGACAGACATCAGCATCACCATCAGGAATGATGTTTACGCACGAGCCTCTTTGCTAGGCTGCACAGGCAAATATTTTCGTAAAGAATAGATATTTTCCAAGCATTCATGCAATCAGAACCTCTTCATGCTAAGCAGATTAAACAAGGAATACAAACAGGGCCAGAGATGAAGGCGCATGGCATTCAAACCAAATGTTTATGAAAACTGCTCTCAACCAGGCATGTCCCACAGCAGGCAGAGACAGTCAGGATTTAGAACAGGGAGTGGATAAACTCCACCAGTTATGCATGTTGGCACTGTGTTTGGTGTCACTTTCAGTTGTTTCCTCTGCCCTATAAATATTATCTCGAGCTTATCTAGTTCAAGCTTCAGCTAATTAAATCTGATCTACAGCTGATGGTATTTCAGTGGTCATTGAGGGGATGGTCAACATCGTTTGGAGGGCTGAGATGTTGTGATAAGCAGCTTCTTGGGTTGATGGTTGGACTAGATGATATCAGTGATCTTTTCCAACCATAAGGATTCCTTTCTTTCCCCTCCCTTCCCCCTTCCCCCTTCCCCCTTCCCCCTTCCCCCTCCCCTCCCCTTCCCCTTCCCTTCCCTTCCCTTCCCTTCCCTTCCCTTCCCTTCCCTTCCCTTCCCTTCCCTTCCCTTCCCTCCTTTGCTTGCTCATCTCATACTGTAGAGGAGGGAACAGACCCTGCAGAAGCCATCAATAGAGAACTCTCTCAGAATCAGGATGTAACAGCTCTAACTCATTGGTAGCAGTACTCCAAAAAAAAAAGCCACAGGCAGGTTTCATGGCCTGTGGCATACTCAGAAAAATTCTCTTAAGCAAATCCATCATCTCCCCTGCAGCTGTTGGCTTCAGTTTAATTGACCAAGAGTTCCAATCGAGGTTTAAAAGAACCTGATTGTTGCTCACTGGTTTCAGGGATGAGGGGACATGAGCATTTCCCCCCAAATTCTTCCTGGGATTATCACATCTTTTAAGATTAGATACTTGGAAAAGATCTTTCCTAAAGCAATTGCTTGTTGTGAAGGTTATAACAGAAAGTGTTTCTGGTGTTTGCCTGACACTGCTGAGTTTGTTCTTGGAGATCTGTACTCCCCATTGAGCAGCTTTCCAAATTTCCTGTTCGCTGCCAAATTTCCTGTCTGCTTGTCTAAGAACTGTTCATAAATGTTCACTCATTAAATACACTGTCATTTTCACTGAAAGCTTAAAAAATATAGACATTTTCCAGCATAGTTTCCTGGAAAGCTCTTGCTCTAGGACTTCTACTTAGAATACTTCACTGCCTGATGAGTTAAAGAACAGTTAATAATCTTTGGGTTTGAGATGAATAAGTTTAACAGTTTTCTATCCCTAGCTGAGAATTGAATTGAATTAAATTATGCCCTTGTGTTGGATTGTCTTTAAGTGACAATTAAAAACTTGCTGTGTGAAGTAAATATTGACAGCTTATGATTATTTTAATTGTTTTTGTTTTTGTTTTGCATCTGTACTCCCTGTTGATTAGCAAGGTGATTTCTGTTTGCTTTACCAGTAATTACACAATCTGCTGTAATGAGTTGCTCCAAGACAGCACTGAAATCCAATTTGTATTCTTTGGATAGTGTCTTAAAAACGTGTGGATTTCATCTAGTTTCTGTTTGGAAAAGCACAGGGGAACCGAGTGACAGAAATACAGCCAAGATAGAGTGAAAATAATATAGCTCGTCACTTGGAGAAGCACCTTGTGAGTGAATTTATTAGTGCTCTCTGTGAGCTATTGAAAATCCACAGGTTACAGCGAAGCATTATTACCTCAGAGCGGGTTTCTCAGTGGTTTCCTTCCAGCTCCTCAAAGCAAATGCTCTTGTGGGATCTTTGAGGATGCCTCAGTGCATTCTTCTGGGCTTCTGCCAATGACATAAAACCTCCCAGCTCACTGACAGAAAAGAGAATCCCCCTCCACAAGCCAGGGAGCCTTGCTTCAAAGAAAAAAAAAAAAAAACCCATAAAAAATGCTGTGTTACTCCACGTTGGCTAATTCAGGATAAGTGGGGAGCAAAATTCCATGTGAAGATAAGTGGTTTTAATGTGTGTTAGCAGGTCAGTGGGCACTGTAAATCTCCCTTCTGCCTCGCATGCTTTATCTCAACGCAACACATGTGAAAACATCCGAATGTCTTGTCTTATCTTGGTTTGCACCTCATGTTAGTTACCACATAGGTGCCAAGTGAAGCACAAACTAGATTTTAGGCAAGGCATAGCAGGACAAAATTTGCTTCTGTCATAGAAGGAACA